AAAAAAATATCTTTCATAACATAGTTGAGAATCATCTTTATATAAAGTTTGGTATAAAAAAATGAAAATTGATTTCTGGTTAAAACAAAAATCCCACTCTTTTTGCCTTTTCATATTCATGTATTTTTATTTTTTTAAAAACAGAACTTTTTAAAGTCCCGATGTCCTCTACAGAGTAAAATATCATTATGAATAAAATATAATTTTTCAAAAATTTTATTTTTCAACATTTTTCTTATGCTCTAAACAATGTAATGACATGACTAAATACTAAATTCACAAAACTGTTTTTTCCTGGTAGTCAGGAGGATATATATATATATATATTATTTTATTTTATTTATTTTAAACTAGAAACATGCAAAGTAGAAGCACTTTTGAAAACATTATCACAATTTTGGACACCATCCACATTTACAGCATGATAATAAATGAAATAAATAAAATGAAATATTGAACTTGTGTATGCATAAACATCAAACAGCTGAAGTTCAAGGTTGCAACTTAAGATGTTGTGTTTGTTTTGAGTGTGAGAAAGCGAGATCCGAGTTCGACGTGGCACCATTACCTCGACATGGTCTGATAACACGGTGCAGGCACAGGATCATGCCACTTTCCCCACACAAACACAGACCTGCATGGAAGCTCTTCACTGGCAGACGGCAGCACGTTTAACTGGGAAGCCTCTGGCACTGTCCTATGATATTTTGCACATGCGTTGGTCTAAATGCCTATACGTTTTGTGTGAAATCAGTGAGTTAGTCGCCTTCTGACACACTCCTCAGTCATGACCACCTTGTGAGCTCCAGATCGTCATTTAACCTTGAAGTTCCCCACACACACTTTTGATCTGTACGTAAGACATGTTCTGTTGTCATAACATGCCTCAAAGCCTCTTTTAAACTTTATGGAGGTAATGATGTTGTGTGCCAAATTCTGGACTTCCAACATGACATGAATTTGACAGAACACACATATACACAATGCTTTGAAACATGCATGCTTTTTAATAAAGTCAAAAACAAAAAAGGTCTGCGCTCTAAACAAATGTATGTGTCCTTTTTAAGCTAGTTCATGCATATGAGGTGTTTGTCATTAAACGTTATCAACAATATCAAATCCATCATGAAATACTAAGAAATAGTCATTCTTCCTATTTGTTATTATTGTATGCTTGGATTTTGTTGATTCTGTTGGATTTTGGAGTCGAGTTGAATATGCACGAACAATACACTAAAGAAGGCTTTCAGCCAGAAAATGACATTTGTTTAGAGTAGAGACCTTTTTTGTGATTTGGACATTTTCAACTCAAAACGGCATATGGCTGATGTGTTGAGGAAGTGGCTTTTCCAGGGATGCCTTGCAGTAGGGTTTGGGAACAAACGCTTTGTTGTGGGTAGTCCTGAAGTCATGTTCGCTGTGCCAGGGCCTGATATGGCTGTCTTTAACCTTGAAAGAGAGGTCAAGATTAGCTTTAAAATTTATATGAGCTCTTAAACTCAAATAATTGGTCATTGAACAACTATTATACAGCACAACCCCTAAAAATGGGAGAATTGTTGATATATATTTAGTAGCATCAGGCAAAATTGCTTTTAAGTAAACTACTATTTATCACATGGTTTCAAGCAATCTTTGGCACCACCAGCCAAGGCCCATCTCACAGCTCACAGACCAGTGTCTATGTTTACTTCTCAAGGACTGGATAATAAATGGAAAACCAGGGAGCTAGGGTTTATCTGCTGTGAAATGTAAATAGTTTACCTGCTGAAGCTGGCTAGGGCTCATTTTCTGTCTTCTAGAGTTCAGAGGGACAAAATCTTTTTGCATGGTTACAAGCATCCGATCTGGTTCTTAAAAAAAAAGAAAAGAAAAAAAAAAGAACAAGATCAGAGAAATATTAGATTTTAATAAATATTACAGAGAACATTTTAAACAATTATATATTTTTAATTTTATATAATTTATGTTATTTTTAGAACATATTTATATTATTTAGAATATAATATTTTTTATATTTATAAATGTAAAACATTTATATTATTTTTTTAGAACATATTTTATTATTTTTATGAATTTTAATTAATGTTTTTCTGTCAGGTAACTATAGGGTTATTATAGTTAACAAAAACTAAGACAAATAAAATGAAAAATATACAGACATATTTAAAAACAACAAAAGTAATAAAAATGACAAAAACATAAAATTACTATCAGAAACTATAAACATAAAATCTAATTCAAAATATTATAAATATATAATATTCAAAACTATCATCTCAATGATACAAAAAAAAACAACAACAAAAAACACTGCAGACAACTTAAAAATGCTTTGCATGTAGTACCATTTAAATTTTATTCCAGTAAACAAAAATGTATTATGACTGAACCAACCTGACAATATTCAAAAGTAATTTTATGGGTCAGATCAAGCAGAAATAGCGCTTTAAAGTAACAGCCTGCCATACACTCTTTTCACACTCTAAGTGTGTAATGTGGGCAGGTCATTTTAGGTGACTTTTCATTGTGAAAATACAGCTCAAAGTACCTTGCTCACACAGCACATGGCTAGGCGGGTAGATTGGAGGCTTGGGATGGACCGCCTCTTTTGATGGGAACTGCTCCTGTGCTGTTGTGCTATAAAACCTTCCATCTAGATCAGGCCTCCCGAATTTACCATTGCTCAAAGTCCTGATACCGGCTTCATCCACATGCACTGAGAACTGTGAGCGCTTTATCTGAAAGGCCAACATCTCAGTTAGGACAGACATGCTTTGTATTATCTAGATCTTCAAGACAGAATAAGTTGCAACAGGCCACACCTTTGGGAAAAAGCACTGGTTTGTTGTTGACAGTCTCTCCTTGTTGCCCATCAGTATCTCTCCTTTGAACAGAGAGCTGAGATTCGGGCATCTGCGCTCTAGGTGAATAGAGCCTGGGAAGAAAAAAAAAAAAACACAGTTATTAAAGTCATTGATGAATGTATCATAATTTTTTCATTTTCCCATTGTGCGATAAATATAAAGCAGAAGCTGAAGGCAGGTTGATGTTTTAGTCTACTTAAAAGTGAGGATTTCAAGGTCAGGAATATTGAAATGGCACCATCTGATGCTCATGCTGCATGCACAAATGATCAAAATCAAAATGATTTCAAGCATTAGAAAGCAGAATAAAAAATGAATCATATTAAATGTATTAAAATGTTACATTTAATTAATATATTAAGTTAACACTCACTTATTTATAGTTTAAAACCGCTGTACAGCATCAGAAGAAAATTACATTCTCAGTGTCACTGAAATACTATTACAGTTTTTATTAATATTCTGAATCAGTTTGAATTTTTTTATATTATTTTCCGCTTTCATTACAATTTTAGTAATTTTGTTGTTTTTTTTTGTCAAGTTTTTGGGGATTTTTTTCTATAAAAAGTCTATAAACATTTTTTTTTTTTCAGTTTTAGTTATTTTAGTATGTCGGGTTAAACTAAATAAAATGAGAAATTTTAATGGTTTTAATTTTAGTTTCAGTTTCAGTTGACTATAATAACCCTGTCCCATGTTAAGCATTAAAAAACAAAAAGTAGGCCTATACACAGCATACAATTAATGTACATACCTCCTTTGTATGCATGAAAATCTTCAAATAAGGCTGTTGTCCAGTTGGTGTCAGGAACCTCCCGAAGGTTGATGGGCCGACATTTATTTATCTTAGGAAGCAGACATTCTTTGAATTCAGCAGAGCTGTTGACAAATTCAAAAAAATTCTGATTCTCCAATATGCACTCTAAAAAATGCTGGGTTAAAAAGGGACAAACCCAGCTATTGGGTTGTTTTGTCCCAGCGTTTGGGTTGTTTTGACCCATCGGTTGGGTCAAAACAACCCAATAGCTGGGTTTGTCCCTTTTTAACCCAGCGCTGGGTTATATTTAACCCAGCATTTTTTAGAGTGTGACTAACTGGAAAGCAGATGTGGGAAAAAAATGTCCTTTATAGAACTTTCTGGTGTGGTGCAATATTAAAATTGGCAAGTTTTGTGTTTCTGCTGCATCATACCTGTGGCCAGCCGATTGTCTGAATGAGGAAGAATACATTGTTTGTTTGTCCATTGTCTTTTCATGATCTCCCATCGCCACAGATGAACACTGAATTTGTTGCTAAAATCAAAGACAAAAAAGATGTTATTGAACTGCAACTTTATTGAAAACACTGCCAAAAAATATCACTTTACCTTCTCTGCGGACAGAGGAGGACGAGGAGACCATCTGTACTGGAACTGCTCATGATAACTGGAACAGTATCTGTCCCTTCTGTCCATGATTAGACTTGATCCGACACCTGAATGATACGAATAACGCATCTTATATCAACTCATAAAAAGCAAAATGCCAATAGAGAGTGTGAGAGTACAGTACTAACCTGTTTTTGCCGACTGCTTTGCTCTGAGTGTCCGGGACACTTTATGTTTGATGTAGGAAGCCCTATAAGTGGGCTCAGGATATTTGCCCTCCGGCAGGCTTGTCATGACTGCAGTGATGGGACGAATGATTTTAGCTGCACACATCGGCAGGGGCTTTAGCTCAGACGGAGTGGTCTCAACGTCTCCACAGCTGTCGTCTGAATGCAGTTTAAAGTTGGTTCTCTGCATCGTGAGGTGGGTTAGTTTTGGCTGCGTGACAGCAGCTGGTGGACGCGGTGGGAAGGACAGCGCTGTCTCTGTCTGGTGCTTTTTCCCCAGGTAATTCTGGTCTCTGTGCTGGAAGTCTGGTGAGACAGGCTGAAGGATAATGTCTCGTTTCGCCACGACGGTGGTGTCTGCTAATTTAAAGTGCCTCTTGTTAGTGCTCGTATACATGTCGTCCGCTCCATCCAAAAATGGTAAATTTGAGATTCTGGAGCGAAGCATCTTCGTAGCTTCGCGAGCAGATTGTAAACAGCAAAAAATGTGCGGTTAAAATTGCTTGAAACTTCTGATCTGTCTTCTCGAAGCAAACAGGGCATTTAAAAAGTAAAAAGAACAAGAAGAACGTAACGTGTATGGTGTCATAATGAGGCTGGTGACGGGCGCATGTCAAGCATTCCGCCATATCGTTTGAATATATACAATATGGCGAGTGAAACGTGCTATTTTACATTGTGATATATGCTTGCGTTTTTTGTACATAAAATAATAAGCACTATTTAGCTTACCTTGCTTTATCGCTAAAAAATTGTTTAGTTGATTGTTTTTGTACTTTCACCCACGTGGTACATTAGTTAAGAAAGATGTGCGTGTCTGCATGATATTCCCTACATTAAGAGGACCAAATGTCCCCACAAGGATATAATACCAATACATTTTGTCCTTGTGGTCACGTTTTTGGTCCCCATGAGGAAACAGCATGTAAAGAATTAAGTTTTTTTTTTAATCTAAAAATGCAGAAAGTTTTGTGGGAGGGGTACGTACCCTAGTGAAAAATAAATAGGCCTATATACATTTCATACTAAGTATACTTTTCATATTTATGTACTTAATAAAATGCCCTGCAATTGTACTTTTAGTATAATAAACTGTCATACTTTATAGCCCACTAAATTGGAACAACTAATTTTGTACTTAATGCACTTTAATTGTGCGGAAGTATTGCTGAAGTCCAATTAAAGACATACTTAGTATATTTGGTTGTGCTAAAGTGGAACTATTGCAAGTATACTTTAGGTACACTTACCTAAAGTATTTTGCATTTAAAGACCGATCTTATTTAAAGATCATATACAATCCTCATCAAATGTGACATTAAAACACATTTGAGGCTTATTAATAAGAAATGTGCATTGTGCACAAGTAATACTCCAAATAAAGTTTCATTAAAAAATTTATATCAGTAAGTCTCGAGTTATCTGTCAGTAAATTTGTTAATAGATTTGAACTATACTTAGTATGAAATAAATTTATTTTAAATATATTACTTTTTAATAGGGTAGGTTTAGGGTGAGGGGATAGAAATACAGTTTGTACAGTATAAAACTCGTTCCGCAAATAGAAATCCTGTTCAGACCTCGCTATATAGGACATATAGAACAGTAGGGCCTATTACTTTGATCTAACATGAATCGTAGTGTGTACCTTCAAAGCGATAACATTGCCTCTATGACAGTAGGCTCTTTTTTCCGGGCTGTTCTGAACGTGTTGTAAAACGGAGACATTTCCAGAGACAGCACCAAAAGCCAAGACAGATTTACAGTCCTTACAGCTCTCTTTTGTAGCATAAATTGGTATTTGCAAGCGTTTCTCAAACTTCCACACAATAATTAATGTGGGCCTGTGGTTCTATGAGAGAACGATACAAAATATATGATTAATTCTGATTCAATATATTTTTAGTTTTATATAATACTGGAATTCATTTGGACGTTTTAATGATTAGATTTGCCTATAAAGGTTATTTCCAACGCAGAAGTCAAGAGCAATTACGACACCCCAAAATCATTTTTAATCCTTATGTATATGTATAAAGTATGTATGTATAAAGTATCATAAAGGCTATCTTAAGGGGTTTTACGGTTGTGAAAGAATGGTTACATTAAAGACATATACACATGAAGCAAATACTTTTATTGGGAATTCATATAAAACCACAGGCAACAACAGGCACACAATAGAAAAACAGCATATGTGCAAATGTCTTTGAGGTTTCAGGGCAAATGTCCAAGCAAGGTCAAATGAAAGCAACAGTTAAAGTGAAAATTCATGTTTTTAAAAAGAGAAAGAACTATATACTATAACGCTTGGTATAAAGATGCATGCTGAGGTATTGCAAATTATAGTGGTCTATAAAAAGTCTGAAGTGTTTTTCCTAAAGGGTTGTTGCATTTAGAAGTGCTATTTCAAACTAATGGAATCTTAACAGTGAAAATTAAATTGAAGTACTCCTCGAAACAGTTGATCCTTGCAGAACTGCATTAGATTTATAACTACCTACATATTTAGACTGCACCAGACCAGTGAAAATAATGAATAAATTAATTCATGAAAAAGATTTCACGCTTATTAGTGCTGTATGCTTCGATTTCCCTGTTTCTCTAGTTGTCAATTGCAGAGCCCTATATTAAGCAAACTTATGAGAAACTGTAAGCCAATAAATCGCTTAACATCCTAACAGAGACATGCTGGTGTCCGTAAAGAGTGAGATATTTTCATTCTTCGGTTCTAGTCATGTATCTAACAATAATACTGATACATACATCGAACGGTAGCTTATATCTACAGAACCGTCTGTTCAAAGCCTTATTCTAATTAGAAAACTGCTCACAACCAAATCACAGATCTTAACAACAATTTCAACTATATTGATATCTAGTACCAATAAACAGGTCTAAAAGAAGTTCTAGTCTGTTTATGATGTTCCTCGTGACTATTTCAAGCAAACAGGCCCAGTTCTGTGTACGAGAAACATCCGGTAAGTTACACCCATGGCTCTCAGGAAGCAAATGTGGAATGAATGGGTCCTAAATTCAGTTACTGTCATGCTAGTTATCACCTCTCTAGTTATTACTACCTGCCTGGTACCATGAGGAACCGTTGAGTTGTGCAGCAGATTCTGGAAGACTCCAGAGATCTCATCTACCTCATAATGGCGGTTTTGACACTGAACGTTTGTCTGACCGCAGTGGTCATTTCTCCAGGAGCTTGGCTAGGCTCTGTTGCAGGTCGCTCAGGTCGTAGATCTTGACGTCTAAAGTTTCGATGACTTTCTGCACCGCACTCTCTGCCCTGCTCCGGGCATCCTGGGACGAAGCTAAAGTGCCCTCTGCTGATCGCACTCGTCTCTCCAACTCGGAGTTCTTCACTTCCAGATCCTAATGCCAAGACAAAGTCTTCTTAAAGGTGGGGTAAGCGATTTTTCAAAAACGCTTTAGAAAACTGATTCGGGCCGACTAGCAAAACAAACTTGTAGCCAATCAGCAGTAAGGGGCGTGTCTACTCATGATGTGGAGGAGAGAGCGTTCAGTGCACAGGACAGACATTAGCCGAGCCGAGCGACAGAAAGATAGAGATGGCGGATAAAAAACAAAAGAGGAAAACATCTGTGGAACAAAAGAAGGCTTAAGGCAAGAAGTAGGACCCGTGTAAATATCGGATCAGCTTTCCAGCCCTGGAGAGAACTCAAGGAGCGGAAGGCCTGCGATCGGACGCCGAGGTTGCTTTGTTTCTTCTCGATAGGTGACATCACTGATTATAATGAGTTCTATAGTATTTTGTCGCACCGCTCCACTCGCGTCTGGTGTAGACATGGTGTAGCATTAGTTTTGCTTTGTTTCACAGAACTAATCGTTGCCTGGGTTGCGTACGTATGTGTGGGGCGGAGGCAGAGCTATCAAAATAGGGGCGAGACCCTTTTGGGGTAGGGGCGTGTTTGTTTTGGGGATTTCAAATATCAACATTGGCTACCAGAAATCGCTTACCCCACCTTTAAGTCACGAAAAATAAATCATTTTTTGTTATTTTAGGCTTTCAAGACCTCAAGTTTGCTGTACAAGAAATAGGAGACAATCATATGGCAATACAAAGACCAAAACTAAAGCTAAAAACAACAAAACCAAGCAAGAGCAAACAAATATACAATGACGTTAAAGAAATAGAACTAAATTAGAATTAAAGGTCATAAACATTAGAGTAGCATAATGAAAAAAGGCCATAAAAAAGCATTTTCCTTACTTAAAATAAATGTTAACTATAAAATAATATAATATGAAATAAATTATATATGTAAAAAAAATGAAATCTAGTGTCATTTTAATTTAATTTTAACTATGTACTAAAATAAACTGAAATAAAGATTAATTTACAAAACTAATAAAAACAGCAAAAAAAAGGTAACTAAAATGAAAAGGAAAACTGAAAATATAAAAATTCAAAAATTTTAAATACTAATAAAAAACTATAAATGATACTAAAATAAAACTTTTCTGAAGCTAGTGAAAATACTGCTGTATTTTACCCGTTAAAGGAATTTACCTGTATCCTTTGACAGGCTTCTTCCCTTTCTTTCTCCAGCTCAATTACATCTGGTTTCTTGCCTCGTAGAATACTTATTTCCTGTAATAACCATTTTTACTGTAAATAAAGAATATTCTGTACCAAATTACTCATCTTACAAGTGAAATGTAAAAGTACTTCTAGTTTGAAAATTCTCTGGAATAAAACTGACTTTAAATGGGCCGAAATACAAAATAATGATTTTGTAACATTTTAAATGTATAGTATATTACCAGTGTCACATTACATATTAATTCATTGATAATGTTTAAGCAATTCTGTATCTGAGATTTATGAGTATATTTATGAGTACAGTTTTATGCATTGCCTTGGACCTGGATCACAATTTCAGTAATTATGCAAAGAAGTACTTGTAGTAATTATGCACAAAAAGGTAATTGCACTCTTAGTGTCACTAACACTAATTGTTTAAGTACATCATGATTATTAGTGGATGCAAATCAGCACAAAAAATGCAAATATCGTGAGAAAGGCCAAATAAAATACAGGAATTTTAGAATTTAATCCACAAAAATTTGGGGGAAATAATCCTGCTAAATTTTGGTTGGACACACACACTCGCACACATATAGCTAGAAGCCACATCACAGGGTGCCACTGTATTTAAATGTACGAGTAATGCCCATCGATGATTCTGTTTGTAAATAAATTATTTTATATTAAATAGACATTGATAAAACAGCTTACAGTGTGGAGAATATAACAGGATCGATCTATGGCCTCGGCAACACGCTATAAGTGTCCAGCGTAGACATGCTCTCAAGATGGAGTTGGAGTCCGTTAGCACTGTTACTACATTAATCAATCTTTACCTCATCTTTAGCTCTGATAAGAGCCTCCATCTCTGCCACAGTCTGTGTGAGCTCCTCGCTGCCCGTCTCGCTGGAGGCAGAAACCCCACTCTGAGCCTCCAGCTCTGCAACCTGAAACATGAACCAACAGAACACAGCTATTACAAGACTGTCATCAAACTCAGTCTCAGGCCGAACCATCAGCCCGACTGTATACAATCATCAGAAACATGGGAATGTGACATGTTGCAAAAAAAAAACACTTTAAAAACATGTGCCAAGTTCTTAGAAATGTTCTCTTCGTGTTGGTTCATAAGCATAAAGTAAAACTATATTTATAAAGGTAAACATTTTAACAAATATCACAAAATATTACTTCATAAATATAATTAGTTTAATATGAAATATTTAGTGCTGTCAAATGATTAATCGCGATTAATCGCATCCAAAATAAAAGTTTTTGTTTACATAATATATGTGTACTGTGTTTATTTATTATGTATATATGAATACACACACATACAGTATATATTTTGAAAATATTTACATGTATATACATTTATATATTTATATTATATATAAATCTATTTAATATATAAACACAACATATTTTTCTTAAATATACACATGCATGTTTGTATTTATATATATACAATAAATATACACAGTACACACTCATATATTACGTAAACAAAACTTTTATTTTAGATGCGATTAATCGTTTGACAGCACTACAAATATTACTTTCTAAATCATTTGTTAAATATGAAGAAATATAAATTCTTAAATATAATTAGTTTAATATGAAATATGAATGCAAATATAATTAGTTTAATATTGTGAATGATTAATTCATAAATATCATTAGTTTAATATTATGACAGTATTTCATACATATCAGTTAAATATATTACAAAATATTAAATCATAAATATCAGTTTAATATAATGAAATATTCATAAATATCAGAAGGTTTTTTGGGAGTCACACCACATGACAGTTAACAACTTGAACATTTGTTTTTTCATAAAATTGTCAAATTATTTGATCTTTTAAGAGACTTACTGACCTTGACACACACTCATGAGATCTTATGATGATATCATTTCCAGTTTTATGCTTTTTTCTGCATGCTGGTTGCACAACACAATGTTGATTTAATGGCCAAAAAAAAAGTTTTTAAAATATTAATATTTGAACAAAACTGCTTACTGCTTTTTTTCTAAGAAACAATAATAAAACATTATGCAAAACTACTCAATAAGGATTATTTATTAGAAAATACCATCTGTACAAAGGATAACTCAGAATCTGAATATTTCTCTTTATACATAACAAAAATCTGAAAACTAAAAATTGTGTTGTGCTCAGACCTTCGGACCCCACTGGAAAACAAGACAAGACAAGACAAAAAATAAAAAATAAAATGCTGTAGAAACAAAATAAAATACCACATGATCCTGTTTTCTATGCTTTTACTTTCCACACAGTCATGGTTTCCATGATTTAGCATCACATCTTCAGATATTTACAAAGATACAATTTACAGGCAACACTACCTCAAGGAAAAGTAAAGCGGGCCATCACTGCACTGGAGCTTTTAGCGCTGTCACAACTCAGAGCTATTTTTTCCAGTTTGTGTGAGGGAGAACCTTAGTGGTCTCATTTTCCCCACGGTCATTTGTCTTCCCTCTGTTCGGGACAATGAAGGCGTATTGTCTTTTCCTATAAATATCCCTCCGCACACTCTCAGAAGCGCTGAACTACATACGTCACCTGCATGATGTTTGCATCAGTACACCTTCAAAGTGTTGTGGAATCCTTTATGTGTGATTATATAAAATTGCTGATGAGTGCCGAAGGGAAAATATTCAGTTTGCTTGAGCAACTGCTAAAACAAATTGTTAACACATGAGAACATCTCAATGTGGATGTTATCCTTATGTGGTCCTCAAAAAAGCAGTAGTTTTTGTAATACAAATGGTTTTGTATTAGTTTTCTGAAATGATGTTTAAATATGCGAAAAAGGGATTATCTGATTAAGTATGCATCTGAATACAGAACAAACAAATCTGAACATTGGATAAACCCAAGTTCAAAATTCTTGTTTTATTTTGCTAACATATTAGAGTTAAAGGTTTTGACTGAGGGTGATATCCTGTAGTTTGATACGAACACATCTGAAAAATAGCGGCAGACACAGAGTGAGCTGCTGCAAGGCAAGTGCATAATCCAATTTGTCCTAAACATAAGACATGAATTATATTAAGGGCTTTAAAATAGCTCGTAAAATATAGTTAACACGTGTAGTTTAAAGCAGTCGCCCCATTAGATGCTCTGACAGGCCACTTGCACTGTTTAATGCGTCTGAGATGTGCTGCTTTCCTCAGTGCATAACTTATACAGGTGCATCTCAATAAATTAGAATGTCGTGGAAAAGTTCATTTATTTCAGTACATATCGCCCAGCCCTAATAAATAAATAAATACACACACACACCACTCTGTACACACTTTTAGAATCTAAATAGAAATAAAACTAACATCTGCTGTATGTACTGTAAGTGCTAATGAAGTGGAGATTTCTGGTTTAAAAAAACTAATTTTGAGAAAACTTCCTTCAAAGTTAAGTACTGTAATTGAAATCTAATAGATAAAGCATAATAAAATAAACACTTAAATGTTTTGAATGCTTTCTGAAAAAAAAAAAAAGTTTTAGAAGCAAAATAGCCTAAAATCTCTGCAGCGCCTGAGGAAAAAAAAAAAGGTTTTGCCTGCACTTCTAAAAATAAAGATTCTTTAAAGTTTCATCTTAAAGGTTAAATGAAGAACCTTTAACATCAATTCTAATTTGTTGAGATAGTGAATTGGTGGGTTTTTGTTAAATGTGAGCCAAAATCATCACAATTAAAAGAACCAAAGACTTAAACTACTTCAGTCTGTGTGCACTTAATTTATTTAATACACAAGTATCACATTTTGAGTTGAATTACTGAAATAAATGAACTTTTCCACGACATTCTAATTTATTGAGATGCACCTGTATTTCACAGGTATATTTTCCATCTGTAAATGTCAGAAAGTCATGGATATGTTTCTGAATGAGCGCTGCCACGCACATGCATGCCAAACAGACAGAGCACAATAGAATAGGAGTGCAATAATTATGACTAAAATATATAATTTGCTAAAATATTTGTTGTTGGACAATAAATGTGCCATATGTAGAAGTTTAAACCTATAAGTAAGTGTATTTATATGATAGCACTAACTATAAAGTGACTGTAATGGGGGTAATCAAAGCAGCCTAATACAATTAGTCTGTGCTTTTGTTTTTTATTTATTTTCATTCTTAGTTTAGCGAGTTTAACTTTAAAAAGCATTATTTTTGTTTTTAGATTGTAATGATACAATGCTATTATGTAATGTGATTTTAACCCTTTTTTGCACATAATATACAGCATAGTCTATATATGGTTGCATTCACTTTATTTGTTTTCATAGCCTTTAATAAATACATTGTTTGTTGGACAATTTTGGGCAGGATTTGAATTTTAAAATACCAAGATCTACATACATATATATATGCACTTCTAAAAATAAAGATTCTTTAAAGTTTCATCTTAAAGGTTAAATGAAGAACCTTTAACATCCATGCAACCTTTCCATGGTACAAAAGTATAAAATATTCTTTAGATTAAAGGTTCTTCAGATTCTTTACATTACGAAAAAAGGGTTCTTTTAATAACTGTTCTCTAAAATGGTTCTTCTATGGCATCTCTGCAAAAATTAACCACAGGCTTATTTTTAAGAGTGTAGTGTCTTTTATTGTTTTTAACGTTCCTCACCTGCTCTCGTAGGCGATCTGTTTCTTCCTGATACTCGGCTAATTGTTTTTTCCATTGATCAATGCTGCTGTTAGCTTCATGAAGAGCAGCCACCAGCTTAGCGTTGCTGTCCCGAAGAGAAAACAGCTCGACCTCCGAGTTCCTCTCACATATCGACCTGTGAACAAACCAACATCTGGGTTTCACTTATACTCCGGTCCTTCCTTCTGGAAGCTGAGGCAAAGACGAATTTCATCGAATGGCAGCAGATGGTAAACGCATTTGAAATGTCATTTCTTTTGTGTTACCTTTATAACAAGAAAATCAGAAACAAGCTGTGTGCAAAAGATTACTGATGTCCCTTGCCAGCTTTCAGATTTAAAGGAGAAGCATGTTTTAACAGCTTCTTTAATCTCATCTTATTTATTTCCTGAACACTGTGGCTTTGTGATGTTTTCAGCATCGGCGTATTCAGTGTTGTGTTTGTATGGTGAAGTACATCATGCTTGAATCCGTAAAACTTTTGACGTTAAACTCACTGCCAATTACCCCAGAAAACTACTGAGGAGGAAAAGTACGTCAGGCGGATTGATTAGATTCACGTGCATCTGAGTGAGCCAGTGTGGTTCATTTAAATGACAAAATACATCAAATAATTAAAATGTTAAACAGCTTGTCTCCAAATAACGTTTTATATTAGATATCACGAACAGGAGACTGAATTATCATAAAAGCAAATGGGTATCATGGATATCTGAATGTTTTACCCTTCAGAAAGCATCTTCCTCATCTGTTCTTTCTCTGTGGATTCCTCCATATCAGCACTCTTGCTGCGAAACAACTTGTCCTCACTGGAGCCATTGACACCAAGCAATGGAGGAGACTGACGGTCCTCACACAGCACCTGATAGACAATATTATAAATGCTTTTGTTTTTAATGAACGCCAAGGCTGCATTTGTGTGCTCAAAAATACAGTAAAAACACCAATATTGTGAAATATTATTGCAATTTAAAATATAGGTTTTATATTGTCATATATTTTAGAATTAAATTTATTCCTGTGATGCAAAGCTGAATTTTCAGCATCATTACTCCAGTCTTCAGTGTCACATGATCCTGCAGAAATCATTCTAATATGCTGATGTGCTGCTCAAAAAAAAAAAAAAAAAGACATTTATTATTATCAATGTTAAAAACAGTTATATGCAGAAACCATGATATAATCTTATTCATATATTTTGGGTATGTGTGTGTTTTTAATGGATAGAATAGAGAGCAAATATGCATTAAATTGATCAAAAGTGACAGCAAAAACATTTATAATGTTACAAAGGATTCTATTTCAAATAAAAGCTGTTCTTTTGAACTATATATTCATCAAAGAATCCTAAAAAAAAAATAAAAAAATAAAAAGTTTCCACAAAATTTGTATTTAACAATCATAATAATAACCATTATTAATAACTGAGCACCTATAATAATTGATCGCGTGACACTGAAGACTGGAGTAAAATTGCATTTGAAAATATATTAAAAACCAATTTAAAATATATTAAAATACAAAACAGTTTTTATTGGAATAATATTTCACAAAATTACAGTTTTTACTGCATTTTAGATTAAATAAATGCAACCTTGGTGAGCATAAAATACTTTTTTCAATAACATTCAATAAACTATAAATAATAAACTACCATTCAATAAATGGTAGGGTATGTATCCACAACATAAAAATAACAACCAGTTTTTACAGAATTTTTATATCAGTGCAACATAAATGAGTAGATATTTACAAGATCCTTTATATACAACATTTATGAAATCTCTACTCCTAAATGCCACCACTGATTTAGTGTTGAAATGTCCACATTTAATGAAAGACAGTCCCAGCGAGCGTTCATTTTCCATCCCATGGTTCAACAGTATGAGAATTTTAAAACAACAACACAGTCTTAGTCTATCTGGTTGATGAAGAAACTTGAGCAGTCTGCACATGAGACTGAGCAGGGCATGAGGCCCCATATGGCATTGTTCTTTGATTCAGATTCTAAGGACATCAGTTTATTTCAACTTGCTGTTCATGGAGACTTGAGAAAACCAGAACAGTACTTCTGAAAGAACTGGGCTTTTTTGCTTATACTGTATACACTAAAAAAAAAAATCAGAAATATTTACGGTAAAAAAACGGCAACGTTTTAGGTTTTACGGTTTTAACTTAAATTTAGAGTTAAATACCGTAATTTCATTAACTGATATAATGTTAATATACCAACCTATTGAAGTACTGAAATCTGTTTTGTACCTTTGTAATACACTGATAACCACCAAATGCAGGTGGTGATGAGAAAGTCACACGATGAACCAAAGCACATCACAAGCAGCTTTTAAATAATAACATATATAGAAGGTGCACAGCGTCACTCACACAGACACTAAACACCATCATGGTAACACACATGAAACTGAAATAATGCAATAAACATTCATTTAACAACATTAGGTGTAACACACAACCCTAATATACAAAACTGATAAGAAAAAACTAAGAAGAAACATAGTTATTTCAACAAAAAAACATCAAATTTGAAATGTAACGCAGGGAATTCTGGGAATGTCAATTTACGGTTATTCACTGTAAATTATACGGTCTTTTTCACTTCCAAAAACGGTATACTACCGTGAAATTAATGTTCAATACATGTAATGTCCAATACAGTTTTTCACCGTATATAGTAGGGGAATTTACCGTTAACCATTTAACAGGTTTTTACTGTAGCATTTTTACAGTCTTTTACTGTTAAATTCACGTCATTTTTTACAGTGGCAGCAAAGCACCGTTTCAAACACGTACAGTGTTTCTGTTTGGCGGTACACACTTGCTCTCAGAAAAGCTTGTATAATTCATCAATCTCAAACTCGGCATTCCCCAAAGGAAGACGTTCTATTTCTCATCCAACCGTTCAGGCCGATGACTTGTTTGCCTTCTCTGTAGCGGTTTGTAGGGAGTTTGAGGTGGAGCTTTCTGTGTGTTTAATATATTTAAAGGTAGAACAAGAGGAATCAGAGACATGACATCTCCACTGCATAGTCAGTGGCTCGGGAGCTCCATTCCTTCAATAATGCATCTTGCAGATTTCTACATTTTTAATGAGGGATTACAGATTTCCAGAATATTCCTCTCTTATCGTGAGCCGATGTCAAACTGTAGAAAAATGATACTGGACTTTAGCAAGACTATTAGAAAGAGCTCAAATTAAACCACCTCAATCTTCCCCAAAATATAATTTAAGACTCATGCTTGATGAGCGCTACTGAAACAGGAAGTTGGAGCAGGACATGACGAATGGCTTGTCTTTTTTCTTTTTTTTTTTTAAATGATTTAATTTTCCAGAAAAAAAAAATGTAAATGAAATCAGTCCAGTCACATTAGTGGGAGTAGTGTTACTTTAATATTATAATTTATATACTATTTTAATAATTATTAATACTTTTGATTAGCTTTTATTTTTATATTTTCAGTTTTTGTAATTTTATTGAAACAGGAGGAGATATATGGGAATAGTGTTATTTTAGCATTATTATTTATATGCTATTACAGCATTCATATTTTGTTTAGTATTTTTTTTATATTTTGAATTTGCTTTTATTTTATATTTACAGTTTTTATTTTAATTTTAGTTTTATCAAAACAGGAAGGTAGAGCAGGTTGGACATTTTATTTTTTAATTTTTTTTAAATAGCCAATCGTTTAGTCAGATGGAGGTATTAGTGGGAACGGTGTATTTTTAGTATCATTATTATTATTATTTTTTTATTTTCAGTTTTCATATTTTTTATATTTGATAGTTTATAAATATATTTTGTTTTTATATTTATACATTTTAGTTTCTATTTTAGTTTACATTTTTGTCATTTTGTTATGTCCTTTTATCACTTTTATTAGTTTTGTTGTTTAAAGTATTTCTATTTAGCTTTATTTTTATTTCAGTTTTAGTATTATTACTTTTCACATTTTAACATTTTAAATTAGTTGCCAAGGTTTTAGTTTTTCTTCTAAATTCTAATATTACTATTTTATTTAATTTAACAAAAACAATAAAAACCCAGAGTGGGAGGGACTTTATTATTCTAGACAGCATTTGATTGGACAGGATTCTGACTACAGACCTGAGTTCAAGATGATTGTCATCAATATATATTTAATAAATATGTATATATTTTGCCAAGAAAAAAAAAAGACTGCCTTAAATGTGTCAAAGATATGTCATTTTAATTTTGTTGATAATTTATCAGTACACTTGTATATAGATGGCCCCAAAAAAGCCACAACACTCCCAATTCTGATTCCATAAGGTCTTGAAAAATGGTTCCTGTACAAACTGGGACAAACGCAGAAATATGTCATCTTGCATGACAGTGTTTCATATCCAGGGCTTCCTGAGGGGTTCGAGTAACAATATAGCGAATGGTGTCAGCTGCACAGGAGTCACAGGTGTGTCATTGTATGTGGAAACAGACGCAAGCTCACCTGAGACAGCTGAGAAAGACACAATCCCATCACCAAAGAAAAGACATGAAAAGAAAGAAGATATAAGCATTCATTCATTACTGTAATCACTCATACTTAAAGAGTTTGACCAAAAACATCAGTGTTACACGGGCAAGTAGGGGTACTTTCATTATCTAAGAGTGCTTTAACTATCCGAAAGTTTACAGACAAACTTATGGGTTTTTCTTTTTTCCTGAGCATTATTGCCATTTGATTATTACTGATGGCATCATAGACAGTGGCAGCTTTAATAGGCTGCATTCACTAATGCACAGATCTGTTTCCACATATCAGATGTTTTGTCCTGTTTTGAAAACATAACTGACTGTTTACACATTAACTTCGTATCATAAAAGTATTCAGAGATGCAAGTGCATTTAACCGCAGCCGCGAGCTTCAGGACCAACAAACACAAAGCGCATGTGAAAGTCTGTCAGAACGTGAGTTTCGTGCATCTAATACGTACTGCATTCCAAACGGCAGAAATGAAAGCATATCTAAAGTAAAATACTAAAATAACAGCGAGTGGAAGCACAGTCACGCAACGCACACCTGTCTCACAGCGCATATAGGTTGTTTGCACATGACGTCACTGATGACGCGCGAAATGCAGCTGGAGGGCAGGAAGTGATTTCTCTCCATAGAAATCACTAGCAGAAACTCAAAATGCCTGTGTTTTGCGTTGTTTATGGATGCTCAAATCGACCAAACCGAGAAACCACACGGAGCCAAGAAGTCAAAAGTCAAGAAATTTACTGAAAAACGCAGGAAAAAGTGGCTTTTAAATAACCAATCACATTACAGCCTTGACATCATTGAAATTCAGTCAGAGTTGTAACTCAATCGCTGTTTACGGATGCCATAGGAATGAATAAGAAATGCTGTAAGCTGTGTTCTCTTATAAAACGTCATTTTTTTCGTTGTAAACTCTAAAAATAGTTAAATCCAAAAGTATAGGTTGTTTGCACATGACGTCCCTGATGACGCGCGAAATGCAGCTGCTGGATGGCAGGAAGTGATTTTTCTCTCCATAGGAATCACTAGCAGAAACTCCAAATGCCAGTGCTTTGCATTGTTTATGGATGCTTAAATTGGCCAAACCGAGAAACCACAAGTAGCTTTTATCGTGTACGAAAATGTGTTGTTCATAAGTGGGGAAAAGTCAAGAATTTGATTGAAAAACGCAGGAAAAAGTGGCTTGTAAACCTGCGTCTGCGGTCGGGAGGAGCGAAGCTCGTGCGATAATGCTCGTGCGTGCAAATGGTTATTATAGGATATAATAATATATTAAGATATTTATAAAGATATAAATAGATTGGGCTGCCTCCTCTCACGCATTGTGACAGTCAGAATTTACTCAGTGCTAAATGCCACACGTTCTTTTTTTACTGTGATGCCATGTCCCGGCGCGACGAGACAAAAACATTAAAACCCATTATAGACGAGGCATTTGTTGCATCCAGTGGAGACATAATTACTGATTATAATGACTTATACTGTCTATATCTCTTTGGGTTTGAGACTTTAGTGTTTGCAACTTTAGGGATCTTATTTATTCACGAACAGCTTGTAACACTCCAAAGAGAAAGGAAAACTTGAAATCGCATCATATGACCCCTTTAAAAATAGAGTGCATTTTTAATACTCATGTGACAAGCGCTTATGCAAATGACGTCAGTAGGCTATAATCGATTATGGTCTATTACTGTATCGATGCAGAATCGTCCACATCCAATGCAATGATTAATTCCAACACCCCTACAGGCAACATACACTTTATTGCAAAAGATTCAATACTCTGACAAAACGAACCGTCTAAAAACATTCTTTGGCATACGAGAGACATTCACTGATGTTTCGTTATTAAAATAGCCATTATTAAACAGAATACTGGATTCGGCCAGAAAGCTCTTAGAAGCAGACACACATATAGATCCAGTGATCAAAGAGTGCATCATTCTGTTTCACTTATTTATATACTTCCATTCTTCACGAAAGACCCCAAAAACACTTTATTAATTAATAAGGGCAGCATTATTCAGCACACACGGTTGCTGTTTTGAACTCTGAACACTCAGGTTTGATTAAATAATGAATAGCTCTCAGTCAGTGGCCTGTTTCATGTGCTCTAGAGAGGCACGTTTGAATGCAAAGAGCTCAAGGGACGAAAAGCCTATCATGGCCATTAAACCACTACAGAATACTGAATGTGGGCTTACAACACATCAAGCATTTTGCTGTACTATTAATGGGTAAGTTTGTCAATTTTCAACCAGCCTTGTATTGTAACAATGTCGGTGGTATAAGTAAATAAACAATTGGTATTATTTTTCTGTGTTACCTGCACCAAGATATCAATGTTTATTTGTCAGCAAAAATCTGCCAGATGAAAAAAAAAAAAAAAAAAACATTTCTAGACAGCCAACTTTCATTAAAACACCATCTTGCCAGCAGTGAACTATCCCTTTAAGCCTTGTGTGTCAATTTAAAGTTACACAGAGGTCCTTAGAGGACAAAAATGTCAATGTCAAAAAACTGTCATAAAAATATTATATACTGTATGAATATTTTTTCCGCTTTCACTGACATAGATCTTTTTACCAACATCAGTTCTGATCATAACCTACCATATTTGTTGTTGTTTTTTTTTCATTTTCAGGATTTTAACCCTTTAAATCCTGGGGAAGTCGTGGCCTAATGGTTAGAGAGTCGGACTCGTAACCCAAAGGTTGCGGGTTCGAATCTCGTCTCCCAGGCGTCGCAGCAAAAAAATGGCTGCCCACTGCTCCGGGTGTGTGTTCACGGTGTGTGTGTGTTCACTGCTGTGTGTGTGCACGTTGGATGGGATAAATGCAGAGCACTAATTCCGAGTATGGGTCACCATACTTGGCCACGTCACATCACTTTTTTTTAAATGCCAGTTTGTTAACATAATGCCACTGTGGTTGTTTTAATGCAACAAAAAAAGACACATACAAACATTTGTAGAATTCACAAATGTGCAATACATTACACATTTAAAAAAAAAAATTCAATAAAAAAAAAATTAATTCAAATTTTAAGGCCTTGCTGGCATAATCAAAACCTATGAATAAAGAATGCATGATATTATGCTTTAATGGTGCTGAGATTAAATACCGCAGTTTTAATGGGTTTCAATGGGTACATTTTTTGTCCTTAAAGTCCTGAGTGTAAGTATTTCTTGTAAGAAGTGTAATATATGATTTGTTTTTAGATTGCTCTAATGAGAAAGAGGTTGGGAACT